CGCGCTTTTGTCCTGCGCCTAAAGTGGTTTGTGAAATATGAAATGAGTCTTTAGGTTTTTTTCTTGATTTTGCGCGCGCCGCCGTCGGGCACTCGCGCGGGCCTCGCTTCGCCTTGCCTGGCCTCACGACGCCGCCAGCACCTCCCTGAATGCTGCGACGACGACGTCCCAATGAATTATGAAACACGAAAATGATCATCAGGAAATTCAGTGACGAGTGGAAAAAGACGGTAAGTCTACAAAACTCCCTTGTTGGACAGGTATTGTGAAAGGCAGGGAATGCAGTAAAGATCATTGCTAGAACACGTTAATGAGGGAAAAGAATGAATTAAGAAACACTGGGTCTATTTCAGATAATAGCAGCAATACCTGATCGACGATAAACTTTATGTCGATGCTTATGGAATCTACAATACGAATTTTCTTTGCGCAAAGAAATTAATAGAAAACGTCGCGACCTCCAGCCTTGTGAGGTATCTACGGTTTCATTAGATATCTAAGAACTCGAAAAAAAACCAAAACAATGCAATGTATCGATTATGACAGAATAATGCAAATACTTGTGTTATCCCACCTATTCTCATACTCTCACACGCATACCCATTGAATTCTCATACACAGAGCTTCACTGCTGACGATATATCGGACGTCATACAATAGCAAGGTTCCTAGGAAGAGATCACTCGCCATTAAATATTTGGGATACACATATTGCATTATAAAACAGCAATATTTTTATTTTTTGGTATATAAATAACTGCTGTAATGTACGAGTACAATACTATATTACGTTATTGAATGTAGTCTTGGTTTGTTAAAATGTTTAATTTACTTCATTGTTATACAAGAGTATTTTGTTTGTTGTTCTTCAGCAGTGTGCGAGGTATGGAAATCCTTTTCGCATGGTTTTAATCAGCATAATTTTCGCTTCTTCGTGCCAATATTAATATAATTATATGACAATGTCCAAACGTGCTAAACCTGATATATCGTGATAAGACAGCATACGCGAGAGCTGCTTGGAGCTTACCCAAAAGATGTGCGAGTAACCCATCTTGTATAAAAAAAACAGAGCCATGAAGAAAACACAACCGCGACAACGCGCAAGGGAGCGGCCCAGGAACCTTGCGCAGTCCATTGGGCGCGGTCCACCACGACCGGCAGGGGCTGGACGGCAGGCTGCGTGGCAGCCCCGCGTTAATACCGGGCGGGGGCGACTCCGTCTCGGAGGGGCAGGGAGGGGGGAGGGGAGGGGAGGCGCCGCCGTGCTGATTTCCCTGTCGGCCGCCGATCGCTCCCCGGGGATTCGGCCACCGCCGCCGCCGGCGCCACCGCCTCCTCGTCATAAGGGGCGGAGAGCGACCGCGAAACGCCCGAGGGCGGACGCAGCCAAGGAGTGGCGGTCGGGAGAAGACGCGCCATGCAGTAGGGGTGACCAACTGGCGGGGTGCAGAGGTGGACTTCGGAGACACGAATGTGATGCTGAGACAACCACGCCACCTCTCTTGACAGGAGATGCTAAGGAAGACTCCAGCCTCGTTTGATGTCCGTTGACACAAATGTAATTTTCTTCTATAAAATGATAGAAATACTTAGTTGAACGTGCCGTTTATTTGGAGTTTCAAAAGGACAATTGCAAGGAGCAATGATACTAGGAATATTTGCAGACTTTTTTGTGCGGTAGATTGGTTGCTCATAAAGTGATATTGTCAGACATGTAGGAAGGAATGATGATGTAAATATACAAGATGTACCCGCTGTTAGAATACATAGAAAGTAGCAGTCATCAGTATAGAAGGGAAGTGAATAACGTAAATGATCGAAAGTTCCACGACGAATACTATCAGCAAAGATGTTACGTAAGTGTTACTGAACTACAAATACTGTTGTTAGGACTAAAACTTCAGAGAGGGCGAAGCGTATCAGTGAGATGTGGACTCGCGTAATGACAAGAATAAAATAACACGAACACGAATTATGAAAGAAAGAGTATGTAATAGATACGATAATCGATAATCGTGGTCAGTTAAGAGCCACAAAGGGAATAGAAGCGGCGGGAAGAATTAAAGATCCAATGATGAAGGGGCATGAAAGTACTAGAATGAAGCTCGGAAGGAAACTCCAGGAAGATATCTAAACGAGAGAGGGAGATAGATACAGAGAGAAGAGAAAGAAGAGAGGAGGAGAAAGTAATGAAGAAAAACAAGGCAAAGACTAGAAAAAATTAAAGGAAGGCTCAGAAGAAACAATAATACTCCGAGATTCAGAATATTGCAGCAGTGGAAGGGCGAGAATATATTATATATATATAACAAATTAGAACTTGGGAAAGACGTTGGGCAAACGTGTTTGCAAGGAGGAACTAGATGGAAGACAAAGGTGGTGGGCGCAAGTGGCAGCACAGTGAAACGACGCGAAGAAACTGATCACGGCGGAAGGGTGGCGGCGAGGTAGGAAACGCGCAACCTCCCATCCTCTCCCCAGAGGCGAAGGGGCTGACGACCGCGAGTCGGGCCGCAGCGAGCGTGTAAAAAGCAACACAGGAGTCCACAAGGCCGCACGGGCCTCCGCCTCGACGCCAGCGACGGCCCAGCGCCGGCGCCGGCGGCGCGGGGAAGTGCCGGTGGCGAGGCGCCAACGAGCGCGCGGGGAGCGATCGCTGTGATTGAAGCGCCATTGCATTGCGACTATTCCGGAAGATCGCTCAAGTTCGCTCGCGGTCGCCCGGCGTTGGCCACCGTCGCGTCGTTCATCGACGCACAGGAGCACAAACCGAATCGAATCGAGATGCTCCGAGGCTCCTGTGCTCCACTACAGTTGGGAAGCTGAATGGAAGTTCAAACTTCACTTCACACAGCCTTCCACATTTGTTGCGAGACTTCTTGGTTGATGTTTATTAATGTTGAATGGAACTACCATTCGATCTTCTGTCACAACATAAGCTAGAAAACGATTCACACACCTTTATAAAACGTTTCCTAATCTAAAACATCGGTCATCTTCTCTATCCCCGTATTAAAAAGACTCTTTAACAACATATTAACATGTCTTCTACAGACATTAAAACATTTAGTTATTCACTAGGTCCGAACAAAATAGAGTAGGTTCAGTATGTGAGGTCGGAAACATTCAATACACTAGTTAATATTGATATTGTAACTTTTAATTTACGATGTATGTTCACAATGTTTGAATAATATTTATTGACATGTTGGAAATAAAATAATAAGTTATTTCTGGTTTCAAACGAAATAGCGCACAATAACCGTACAAACAAAACTATATACGTTGACTTGCTATATTTAATTTTATCGCAATTCTCAGTATTTCACGCATTTAATACCTTATAATTACAAGAAATATTGAAGGGGTTGATTTGTTTTCCCAAATTTCCTGCGTTATGCCTGAATGACAAATATGAGAAAACAGCTTCGTCCATGTTCACCTTCGTCCTTTAGTTTAGAGAGCGTTAAATATCTTTCTCTTTCGCCTCCTCCTGTGAAGGTGTTCTGTTTGTGGGGGAGGGACGCATTCAACCTGCAAATCACGTATCCTCAGACCAAAATAACGAAAAATATACGAGAATATCTCTAATTAATACATTCAATTAAGACAGCATTAATGAACGTGTTTAATGTTTTTAATTTATTTTTTTTCTATATTTCTAGTGGGGGGGAAGGGGGAAGAATAAAAGTGTGCATGGTGACTCACCCTGGCGAGGCGCGCGTGCGCGGCGGGGCGGTGGCGCGGCTTGTCCTTGCGGTGCACGGTGCGCAGGCCGCGGAGCAGCCGCGCCAGGCTCACCGACGACCCCTTCTTCTTGCCGGCGGCGGCCGCGCCGCGCTGCCCCTGCTGCTGCTCTGCAACGCCACCGCACCACAACAACAGCGTTAGCACAATGGCTCTTCGAAAGGCTAAGTGCTAGACACGTTAACACAAATGTTACTTGACGACCCGCAAAAATTGGCACTGCACCTTCACCAAATCTTCAAAGGAAGAGTCATTCACAAAAAGAGCTTCGCGATTTTCAACAGTCCTCCTTCCAAGAACAAGGCTTTTATGCAATGAGACCTCTAAGCGAATCAACGTAAGTGCGGGCAGTCTAAGTAGCTTTTCGTTCTAAGCGGGACGTTTTCGCTATCACCTTAATCAAAGGAAGAATATATGTTTGGATATTTTCTTATGAACTTGTACCGTATATACACTATATCAATTGGACACAATCACTGGGAAGCCCCAAATTCCACATTTTGGAAAATTGATGTGTTTAAAATGTACTCTATTGGGATGCTCGGATTCAGTTTACACAGGAAAAAATCGTAATTCGATTCTATTTGCTACTATTGAGTTAGATGAACGCTAATTTAATACATGTAATGAATTGATGTTTTTATGAACACATCTGTTGATGAAAAAAAATTAAGAAAAAAAATTCTGAAATTAGTAGGTGAAGATTTATTTCTATAGAGTTATTGTGCATCGTGAACCATAAAACAAAAAAAAAACAGGGCAAAGATTTCCAAATATCAAAAGTGAAAATAAATTACTTATTTATCACAATTTTGTACACTTTTCTCTCATTCAAACATTGGCTACTGTGTTCATTATTTAAACACTTATTGTTCCTGTCATAAGTTTAGAATGAGATCATCACCAACGTAAAACATCTATAGATACCTCACCTTTTATTAAAAAAAATATAGTTCTATGATAGATTCTGCACAAGTTTGATGACTTCTGCACAATTTATCAAAGATATTACCACACGTGCTTTGGAATTTACTTGTAAATGTACATTGAATAAGTATATATTTGTATTTAATAAAACTATTTCAAGAATGAAATTACCTCCAAAAGAGTTTGGAAATGCGGAAAACATAAATTGTAATATTAAAACTCGTGCTCACAGTGCACTCCTACGCGTACGCCCTTATTGTGTATCAGATGAATTTCGTTAGTGAAATAGGGACATTAAAGTTTTTTTTAACTTCTCAAAACGCAAACCAGAAAAAAATTGATCGATAATGGCAGATTAAGCATTTTTTATTGGCACTAATTTCGATTTGTACGCCTTATACAAAATACCCATAGCTTCCCCGCATGTTAATTTGACCACACAAACTCTGCTAGCTTGAGATCATCAATGTTTGCTTCGAACACAAAAGCCCAAATCATCACACAAGCTACAAATTATTCCACTACTAAGCGGCAGACCCCACGATCACTCCGACACAATCACCGAATAATCACGGTGATACCCGTACAACCGCAACACGCCTACATCCATACACACACACACACTCTTCTCTTAATGCTCCGACGACTGGGATTTCTCCGTGGGTTGGCGATGGACGATCAAGCTACCAGAACGGCATAACGGCCGTTAGACCTGATTTACATTAATGCATTGACACGCAACGCGGGCGTTTATAGCCATCCTCGCGCGATCAGATGTCCCCGGTATGCCTCTAGCCGTGTACGTGTGCGCCCCGGGCGGGCGGCCACAATGTCGGCGGAAAGGACACGGGTCGAACGGATTTTCAGAGCAATAAACGCGTCCAATACACGCGCGACGTGCGAGGCGAGCAGTTTCGCGCGCGGCTGTAAGCGAGAAACAAGACATTTGCGCGGGCGGGGGAATGGAGGTCTCCGGTGAAGGACCGCTCCCAGCGTAAGGGCTCTGGAATTGGGCGAATCGAGGTCCGTTTACGACACGCGTTGCGCGCCCTGGAACGGAGTGATATACACTTAAAGCAAATGTGTGTCTGCGCTGCCCCGAATGACAGAAGACCGTTGGATTGGGTGGGAGAAGGTCGTGTTCGATCAAAGAAAGTTTGTTACAACGTGTTTGCGATTTTGTTCTTGTGCTTGAATTTGATTTCATCTTGTACTTTACACAATACAAAAATGGTAAGTCTGGCGTCGAGATTGGACAAAATTTTTAAGGATTATAAAAACTTCAGAACTTTATCTTCATGTACTACATGTTCTATTAATTCCAACTTTAAATATTTGAAGGAAAGAAGACATCTGTTGTCTAATAAAAATAGATTGAACTTTGAATCTGTTTTATGTTATTGCTTACGAGGGATCACGATTAGGATTCGAATTATTGAAGAACATGAGAATTTTAGAGCCGCTATTATCAAATGCTATCCAGTCATTTTCGTCAGTATTATTTCCCAGCTCACACCTGGGGGACGAGCATCCCAATAGCCTTCAATATGTAACTTAAGTTCATTATTTGAATCTTGAGATCTAGAATCTGCAAAAACCATATGCCAGATTTTGTTTCAACTCATTTCCAGCAGGCTATTGGGAAGACGTTCAAGATTAGAAATAAATTAAGCAATTGTAGTTCAAAAGATGAATTACTTCAGAAACGTTAGACATCACATCAATTCATTGAGGATTACTAGAATACCAGCAGACATCCAAAAGTGAATGTCTGAAAGACACTGCATTTACTAATACTGGAATAAATTATTTCATTATTTCCTGCTCCAGTAATTTCGTTATTTTTCCACCTTGCAGAAATTTAAGTTAACTTCTTCCTGAGTGTTAAAGTTTAACTAAAATTAAATAATAATTAAAATAATAATAAGATAGAAATGTAACTCAGGCATATGAGTCACATTATTATTATTATTATTATTATTATTATTATTATTATTATTATTATTATTATTATTGTGGAAAGGTTCACGAAATTATACACTCTATAATATTTGAACATTATCTCCTCAAAAAGGATGTACATTTCACTCACTTATTTCACCATGCCACGACGCAAAATTTCCCAATTTTCTGCTATCAACACAACAAAAGATTAGCACAACCCCTTTGTCGTTGGGCCATAATAACATACATACGTCTTAAAACTGTTTGCAGGAGAGCTGTTGCATGGTTGTTGTTATATTATTTTTTACTTGAATCTGAAGACTGGAAGATCACAATACATTTTTAAAATCACAGTGGCAACAAATTATTTTTATACTGCTAATGTTACATTGAACCCCTCTTGAGGCATCTGGCGCGTGGAGAGGTGCGCAGATAAGGCCAATGCATCCACCTTTGCAGTACACCAGGTTAGTCGGCCGTAACCACGTGAGCCGCTCCACTCCGGCGGCGTGTAATATCGGAGCCGAAGGTGCCGCGAGTATTGGACTGGCGATATTGCGGCGCGGCACCCACGCGTCCGCTCCGCTGCCGGCGCTCGCGCCTCTCTTCACCCCCGTCTGACCCCGTCTCTATCGCTTGTCCCCGCTCCCCTACGCCGCCGTCACCATCCATTCGCAACCCACCCCTTCCATTCCGTACCCCACCCCTCCCCACTTCCTCCCGACCTCTCTTTCTCCGCGTTCACCGCCCACCCATCCACGCTCAGCAACCGACCCCATCCTATTCACTTCACGTCGCTCCCCTCCCCGTGCTTTCGCCCTATCCCCGCCTTCTCCATTCCGCACTTCGCTACTCTCCACTTCTGCCACACTTCTCACTCTCCGCGTCCACTACTTCAGTCCCATCCCCGCTCTGCACCTCTTCTCCACCGCGCCCGTCTCGCCCAACTCGCGCCCAGCTCCTTACCGAATCCCGGCCCCTTTCAACTTCCGCCCCAACCTTTTTCCAATTCCCAACATTCGCCCCAACTCCGCTCCGGCCGGCGTCCATCGGGTCCAGTTGGTACCGTCCACGCCGCTCCTCGCCGCGTCCCGCTCCTCGCCGCGTCGGTGTCACTCCCGCGTGACCCGGCCATCGCGTCCTCCATCCTCCGCCCTTGCACCCAATCTCCATCGCGCGTATTGATTACGAGGGCGTCTTTGAGCCACCGGACGCCCGCGCGCGCCCGACGAGCGAGGAGGGGCGCGGGTGAGGGCGGGGGACGGAGGGGCGCGGGTCTCGTGACAGTCACCCCCTGTCTGTCGCCCGCCGGCCCGCCCTCCCAGCTGCCCGTGCAGCGACCTCGTATGCGCGGCTACCTTGTGGTGCACCCCGACGCGCGGTGTTCTCAGTTGACGCTGGCTATAGTGGACGATATCACAATTTACGATAGATTTATATTGGGAGGCGATTTTATTACATTCATGGGTCGATATTACAATATGCAATATACCTGACGCATGCTTAGTAGATATGGACTGATAACGTTGATGAATTTGAGGTTCAAAATTCTGATTCAAACTACAACGAGCTTGGTTTGAATTATGAAAAAAAAAAAAAAATCTTTGAAGGGTAGAGTAATATCGCAGTCCAATGTCATTTAGTGCATGTAAAATAGACATGAGAAGACTACCTTATCCTCTGATGTTTATTTACCGATTGAAGTATTATCTCCTTAGTAATATCGTCTGCGGTAGCTCAGCGCTAACTCAGTGACCTCCGAAACGTAGGTGATTGTGAGATTCCAGTGTTTGATTACAGTATATAGTTGGCTCAATTCCAAGCACTGTCTGGTGCAGAATTCGTCCGACTGCTCTCATAGGTGGTTTTATGTGGATCCTCTGAGCAATGTCAGACGAACGTCTGAGCAGTAGCCTAACTGGCTACGGTTTGCGCGCTTCCTACTACTTCTCCCCTTCTCCCCCCCGCAGTCTCTCTCTCTCTCTCTCTCTCTCTCACACACACACACACACACACACACACTCATACATATATTTTCATCACTCCACATCACATATTGAGAAACCAGTCGGGGTCATAGATCCCGTCTTTTGTCGTGCTGTGCTCCTCTGAGGGAGATGGGGAGAAAAAGCTCCAAATATGCAGGTCGGTGCCGAATCGCACGTTCCAATAGGGGGAACAACACTACCTCACGGCTATAAGGTGCACTCACGGAACTAATGACCAAAGAAATCGTTGC